ACATTGGCTTCAATCTTTTCCTTTAAATATTTATCCAACTCAGATTTATAGTCTTTCAATACTTTCTCTGTTTTTCTCTTTTTCATCTCCCTCCTAACCTTTTCTTGCAAAATAGCAAAAGGCTCCATGTCGCTTGAATTACCAATAGATGAAGAACCAGCCAAGGGAGAAGGGATAGAGGGGGAGGGAAAAGTAGGAGCAGCATGAATTCGTATGTAATCCTGAAAAAGAGCTCTCAACGTTTTCTTTGTTGATTTAGCCAATTCCTTATCAACGTCCTCCCCATACATATGACAAAGTAAAATCTTCACATACACATATTTATGCCGAGGATCAAGAATAGACGCTATAAAAATCAGTTTGTTACAATCTCCTAAACTCCCCCAATACTTGTCAAATTTAGCTTTCATGAATTCTGCCATATCTACCAGCCCTGGGTCATTATTCTCATCTTTCCATGCATTTAGCACCACATCAATACAAGCAATGTCATCCAAAAAAGCATTTGAAGTCACATAATTAGTCCCAGACACTTTCAAAGTAAGATGATAGAAATGTTTGAGGAAACCTACTAAATGTCTCACAATTTCCCAATCCAATGTAGTAGGCACACCATTCAAAAGCTCCTTTTTAAAATGACTATCCTCTGATTCAAGTCTACTAAAAGCTGTTTCATAATTCTGAGCAACATCCAACATTAAATAAGTGGAGTTCCATCTCGTTGGAACATCCAACACAAGACTTTTAGTACTAGGGCACTTTTCAATTTCAGCTAACTTTATAAAGGCATTTGTCCTTTGAGCAGAATGCCTAATATATCTTACAGCTTCCCTAACACGTTCCACAGATACATTATAACAACTCAAACCATCTTTCACTATCAAGTTAATGATGTGGGCAACACACCTCATATGAATTAGATCTCCACCCAAAACACAATTTCTCCAATTAGAAAACTTGCCTTTTAAATATTTAATGGCAGTATCGTTAGAGGTTGCATTATCAATGGTAATAGTGAACACATTCTCAACTCCCCAATCCGACAAACACATTTCAACAGACTTTCCTATTTGTTTACCCCTATGACTTGAAATGGGACGAAAAATTCAACACTTTTTTCTGTAATTTCCAATCAGAATCAATAAAGTGAGCCGTCAAACACATATAATTGATTCGCTGAACTGAAGTCCAGGTATCGGTTGTCAAGCAAATTCCACCTCTGTTTTGTTTAATTTGAGATTGGACTTTAACACTTTCAGCCTTATACAGTTTGAAAATATCTCTAGTTACAGTACTTCTACTTGGAATGTGAAAAGAAGGCACACACACATCCATTAAATACTTGAACCCCTGGCCAGCAACAAAACTAAGTGGCAATTCATCCACAACAAGCATAAAAGATATTGCATCACGGACCTCTTTGACACTAACATTACCAGCACCTTTCCCCTTTCCCTTAATGGCCTTAAGATCAGGTTTTGACGGACACACTTTCAAATGAGTCCAAAGATTACTCGTCCCATGAGTTTTACTATCTGAATAGTATTTGCTCTTACAATATATGCACACACTTTTTCTAACACAGCTTTATTAACATAACTCCTATAATGTTTCCAAACAAGAGACCTCTTTTTCACCTGTCTAGGTTTTCGTTGCTTCTTGACCTCAGAGATTGTGGATTGATTAACTCTAGGACTACCAAAGGGACCTTCAATTTCAGGTTGATTTGATTGAGACATCTAAATAATATAAAAAGACAAATGTATGACCATCAAATTTTCACAGAGAAGTATCAAACAACATGAGTCTCACGATGCAAATATTAAAAGAAAGTACTGAATTACATACCTCTACGAAGAATTTTTGCTGTGACTTCAAAAAAAGCAATTACAGAAGGCCTGGATTATACTGATTATACTGATGGGGCTTTTGGTGGCTCCTGCCCTGGATTATACTGATTTGAATCTTGGTGCCTACTGCATATGGACCTAGAAAAATTCAAAATTGCATTGAATCAAGCATTTGATGTTGCAAAGAGACATGAAATTCAATAACAGAATTTTGGATTCATAAGAAGTATACATAATGATGTTATTTTGAAATAGGATATAGGAGTAGTACAGATGTAAGAAAAGGATATTTAACATCCACATTTAAGTACCAACAGCTACATCTAAACTGCATAATATTTGTCACAGAAAAAGGGTATCAGGTTCCTAGCCTGCAAAGTGCAAAGCCTTAAAGAGATATATCAGATGTACAACATTCCACTAACCTAAAAATGGGTCATCTTCTTTAACATCTTTCAATAAAGATGTAAGGAAATGGATGAATAAAACCAAAACTAGATTGGCCTGCTCTGTTACAGCCATGACTAGACACCACCAAAACTCTCAATTTGTGACCGATCATACAATTTATAATTTTCTGCTCAAATATCATTTAGAACAGAAAAAAAAAAAGAATAAGCCATTGATAAACGGTCAAAAGTCCCAATGAATAAATAACCCCAGCTCTGTTCCATTTAAAGCTTTCAAGTCGGTCCAGTTTCACTTCTATTCTTTTAATTCCATCCGCCCAGAGTATGTAGGGAGCATGAGCAGAGCTTATAAGCATGGCATGGAGACTATTAGAAAACTGACCATTTAATGTAACCGATTTGAGACAGACTCTAAACTCAGTATAAGAGAATTCTAATTAAGAAAACAGTACTTCAAGATGTTAGAGGAGCAGCTTGGTTAAGATTAGTTAATCATTGTTTAGTCAAATCATGAACAACTCATCTCAGTTAAGGAAGTTGTATCCTACCAACCAACACAATGAGGAAAACTATCACTAGATATTCAAACAAAAAGCACAAAGATCATTAACAGCAACAAATCAAGCTAAGGGAATTGAGCACGATTAAGCATTGGCCCGTAATAACGAGCAGGAATGAAAAGAGAGATCATCCTTCTTGATTGGATCAAGTAGCTGGTTCAAGAATGATGACTGAAAAAGCCAAATTAGCACACGAAACCCATAAGAATCCCTATGCTACTCTACATAGAAATACTGTAGAAACTTTTGCAACCTATTCTTACAAGTGGTGAGTCCAAGTAACCCAAACAACAATGTACATTGAACTGGAAAGTTCATTAAGTTTGTTACCAGAATTCTAAAGTCCACAGGGCCCCATTTTACACTTGATAAAAATGGTAAGACGCACAAAATCAGAGTCTAGCTGATATTACTATCTACCACAAGTAAAATCCAAACAAATGGCAAGTAACTTAGTATAAACTGTTTCTAGTTCTGTATGCTGCATCACATTCTACGAAAGTTGACCGCTAAATCACCCTCCTAACCACAAAAAACCATGAATTGATTGCTAATACAGAGATGAAAAATGAACAATTGTACACTAAAAGATTGTACAGAGATCAGCAAGGTAAAAAGGAATGAACAATTATACACTGTAAGCTTGTGGTACAACAACAATAAGAGTTGGTCAAAATAATTTGCAGTTGACAGGGGTGCAACAACATTCCATAAACAAGGTAGAACACTCTTTACATACCTCTTCCCGAAAGTCCAAAAATTAAAATCCTTTAAGTCCACTTTCCTTCAAAACCAGAGGCTGGTCAGCCAAGGAGAGACAATACTTTGCAATTTCCCTGAATTTGGGAACACTTCTCAAATCCACCTTAGTGCCATCTTTCAAAGTGATGATAATATTCCCCCACTCCCCGATAAACCCACAAACAACCAACAAACAACAATCAAAAATCAACAATCAAAAAAACATTCAGATGAAAATCTTAAAAGAGAAAGGAGGAACAAATATATACCTGGTAACGGAATAGAGGGACGCGAGATATAAGAGAACCGATGCTTTCTACTGGAAATGGGGCTAATGGGTTTCGAGAAAATCCTGAAAACCCAGAAAAACCCACATTTAGAAAACACTTTAAACATGCACGGATGGAAGTAATAATAAGCTAAGGGATTGGATTTTGAGGAATGATAAGCAATAGATATGAAAAAAGGAATGATGTGTGACCGATCTGTGTTGAGGGAGGAAGATTACGGGTGTTAGACTCAGAAGGGCAACGACGATTGGATTTGAGGAAGGTTGCCGGTGACTGCCTGACTGGATTTGGATTTGGATTTGGAGAGTGAATCGAAGAGTGAATCGGCTAGATCTGAAAAAGGGAGTGATGCATGGCCGATCTGTGTTGAGGGAGGAGGAAGATTACGGGTGTTAGAAGGTCGCCGACGATTGGTTTGAGCCTTGAGGAAGGTTGACGGCTTGCCACCGATGATGGATTTGAGGGAGGAGATAACGGGTGAAAATGGGTGGAAGAGAAACTAAAAAATTGTTCATTCGAGTGTGTTCATTCGTTTGAGTGTAGTTGTAATATAACCAAAACAACCGTTTTTTTTTTGACTGAATGTAATAAAATAAATTCGGGTCGGTCGGGTTGGGTACAACCCGACCCAATGAACAGGCCTAGGTTTATGTATAAGTCATGTTATAAGTATGGCCAAACAATTTCTTCGAAAACTTTTCAGTATTTTGTAGCATCTGGTCTCAGTTGTAGGTATTTATATTCTATATTTTTTTTTGTTTTATCCTATATAAAAACTAGGCTGCTGAATTTTTCAGGAAATGGTAACTGTTAGTGTGGATGGATTGGCGTTAGATTGGAATGGTAAGATTATGTCATGCCTTAGTCTGGGATCTTCGGGGAAAGTTTTCAACAAAAAGAAAAGAAAAGATGGAAAAGGTAAGGGGAAGCAAAGGCTGGAAATCAGCCCATAAGCCCAAAGCCGAAGTGGAAACACCTAAGAAGTTGCCAGTCCAATCCATAAGCTCAAGCCATTCCGCAACCACAAAGACTACCCCTATTACCCTTGGCTCACAGTCTGTTTAATAGAGATGGTCCCAATACCTCCAGGCCCATCATGTTTCAGCCCAGTCCCAACCATGTCTTATTCAAGTTACCCAAGACAGTCAGATGCAACCAAAAGCAATCGGGGGTGATGCAATGGAAGTTCTTGGGGGTTCTGAGTTGTTGGATGATGTCGTTTTGGAGCTGAACCCGACCAAACATCGGGCGGTTAAGTTCCGATCTGAACGCCCACCCAATATCGTCGGAGATCCCTCAAGCTCTGGGGGGAGGCTTTTGGTGGGGAAGGATTCGATGTTGCAGGATACTCTTCCACCCAATATGGTGGACTATGGAGATCGATTCCCAAGGGATGATTGGAATCCGAAGCCGGTGGAGGAGGATTCTGGGAGAGTTGTAGAAATGGAGCAGGATGGGGGGCCATGGGCTTGGTCCACCAGTCCCTCTGAGTGTTGGTTCAGGTGTGTCCTTTACATTATTATCATAGTGTTATCTATGAATTTACAACTTATAGTGTGGAATGTTCAAGAGGCGGCATCTCCAAACTTTTTTAACTCTTTCCGTTTGTTGATTAGTCAGTATAGGCCTGATGTTATTGCGATGTTGGAACCCCGAATTGGGGGTAAGGATGCGGAGTCTTTTATTAAAAAATCTAGGTTTGGTAGATCTTTTCGAGTTGAAGCCCAGGGTTTCTCTGGGGGAATATGGGTCCTGTGGAAGGATAATGTGCAGTTGACGGTGGTGGCTTGTACCCGACAATTGGTGCATGTAAAAATTAATGAGGCAGGGATTATGTACTGGGTAACCTTTGTTTATGGGTGCCCCAGACCTGCTGGTCGCCGGGAGCTTTGGAGGGACTTGCAGGGACTGTCGGGTAGGATTGGGGGACCTTGGTTAGTAGGGGGGACTTCAATGCTATCCCACACAGTTTCTAGAAGAAATGTGGGAGTAACAGGGGGGGTAAACCTTGTCCGTTATTCCGGGAATGGATTTTTGATGGGGGAATGCATGAGTTGGGCTCACAGGGGTCTTTGTTTACCTGGGAGCGGGGGGATTTGCTCAAGAGGTTGGATAGATTCGTCTGTAACTCGGCATGGCTTGATGCTATCCCAGAGGGCTATGTCTCCCATATTCCAAGATTGCACTCGGACCACTGTCCAATTTTATTTAGGAATGGGTCTGTGAGACCAGGACCTAATCAGAGGAAACCTTTTAAGTTCATTGCCTCATGGCTACTGCACGAGGATTTTGATAGAATGCTGGCAGATAGCTGGGATGGGGAAGTAGAATTTGTTGATGCGGTGAAGGTGTTCCAGGAAGAGGCTTGTAAATGTAATAGAAACTTTTGGCAATATTTTCGCCAGAAAAAGGTGCGTCTGGCTAGACTTGGGGGTATCCAGAAAGCAAGGGAGAAGTTTTGGTCCTACAGGTTGAAGGAGCTGGAAAAAGACCTTGTCAAGGAGTTGGATGCTATCTTGGCTCATGAGGAAATCCTATGGATTCAGAGATCTAGTAGGGATTGGGTTCTACAGGGGGATAGGAATTCTACCTTCTACCACAAACTAGCAAAAGGTAAGAAGGCCAGAAGTAAAATTTTGGGACTGATGGATGAGATGGGTATTTGGGAAACAGACTAAGATAAGCTAGAAAGGTTTGCCACGAATTTTTTCAAAAACCTGTATGCGCCAAGTGTAACGGTAGGCAACTTGATGCTTCCTAGGGGCAACTTTCCATCATTGAATCAAGCCCAACTGTTGCAGGTTCAGAGAGGAGTAGAAGCTGATGAGATTCGGGAGGCCCTCCAGGAGATGAAACCTCTAAAATCTCCAGGATTAGATGGCTTGCATGCTCTGTTTTTCCAAAAATGGTGAGGGGTGGTTGGGTTCATCGCTTTGTCACATGGTGCAGAAAACTCTAGATGGCGAATCTATTCCGGAGGACATCAATAAGACACTTATTGTGCTGATCCTGAAAATCCCTGGCCTGGAGACTATAAAGCAATTCCGACCCATAGGCTTATGTAACGTCGCTCATAAGGTTATCACCAAAGTGCTAGACAATCGAATCAAAGACTTTCTCCCCAATATTATAGGCCCAGCTCAGTCAAACTTTGTGCTGGGGAGGAACATCACGGATAATATTGTCATAGCACAAGAACTCATGCATACAATGAGGACTAAGACATGGAAGAAGGGTTGGATGGCGATCAAGCTAGACTTGGAGAAAGCCTATGATAACCTTAGTTGGGCTTTTATCCGAGATACCCTCCTTGATGTGGGGTTGCCTGATAGCTTTGTTAATGGGATAATGGGATGCATTGGGTCGGCTACTATGAGGGTGCAATGGAATGACATCCCGTCTGGGGAATTCAATCTAATGAGGGGTATCCGCCAGGGAGATCCCATCTCCCCTTACCTCTTTGTTATGTGTATTAAAAGGCTGGCCCACTTGATTGATTTGAAGATTAGGGAGGGATTGTGGAAGCCGACCACAGGTTGAAGGCCGGGTTTGGGGATTCCTTACCTCCTTTTTACAGATGATATATTCCTATTCTTGGAAGCTTCTGTGGATCAAGTGAACGTGGTTCAGAAAGTTCTAGATGTGTTCTTAGAGGGCTCTGGGCGAACGGTGAGCAAGGAAAAGACTAGAGTGTTCTTTTCAAAAAATGTGGCAGGGGAGGAGAGAACTCAGTTATCCCAGCAATTGAGATTTGGGGTGACAGATGACTTGGGTAAATACTTAGGTATGCCACTCATTCATGGGAGAGTCACTAGGCAGACCTATGATAACATCCTCCAGAAAGCAAGAGACCGATTACATGGTTGGAAGGCTAATTCCTTAAGTATGGCAGGGAGGGTTACTCTAACCCAATCCGTCTTGGCGGCTCTATCGTATTATTCCATGCAGATGGTGCTACTTCCATGTTTTATCTGTGACGAGCTAGATATGATTTGCAGAAACTTTGTATGGAGCGGCAATGGTGACAAAAAAACTCAGTCTGGTGGCTTGGAAGGAGATGTGCACGCTGAAGCTTGCTTGGGGGCTGCTGGCCGGCCCAAACAAGCTATGGGTGAGGGTCCTTAAGGAAAAATATGGGTTGGGAGACTGGCTGGAAGACTTGCAAGAGAGGGATTGGCAAAGAAGCTCGGTGGTAATGAGGTCCATAGTGAAGGTGTGGGCTCAAGTAATGAAAGGTGTTAGGTGGGCTGTGTGCGATGGTAAAAAGGTGGAGTTTTGAAGAGACTGTTGGTTACCTAATGGTAGGCCACTGTTGGAATCGGCAGTGGGCCTGATCCCGGTGCATTAGTTGGGCTGGAAAGCCCAGGATTATGTAACCCAGGAGGTTCAGTGGAATTGGGCGACATTCGGTCACTTGGTGGGGGTTTCTGCTCTGATGCAAACTACGGGCACGCCGCTACCGGTTGAAGAACGGGGATGAGATTAGGTGTTCTGGCCTTTTAGTGAGGATGGTAGATTCACCACCAAATCGGCCTATAATATGCAGGCAGATTTGGGAATGAATGTGGGACCCTTATGGAAGGAGATATGGGCATGGGAGGGGCAACAGAGGGTGAGGAACTTTATGTGGCTCATGGCCAAAGAAAAATTCTTGACTAATCAAGAACTGTGTCGAAGACACTTTGCCTCCTCGCCAACTTATGCATAACGTGAGGTAGTGTCGGAAATGATGTTGCATATAGTTAGAGACTGCCTGCTCTCGAGACAACTTTGGCTCAAAATGCTGCCAAGCAATGTTAAATAGGGGTTCTTCACAGATAGAATCCAGAGATGGACCCTAGCAAATTTGAGGAACTCCTATGGCTGTCCAGCTATGGAATGGCGGTGGATTTTTGGGATCACCGTGTGCAAACTATGGAGCTGGCAAAACGACTTCATCTTTAAGGAGCTGGAGGTGCCTCTGCATAGGAGGCTTTGGGAAGTCAGAATACAGGTGGAGCAAGTGTTGAGGGCTTTAAAATCCACCCGTATGCTGGAGGTTGTTGGACCGTCAAAAACCTTGACCTTTGTTTCCTGGCGGCTGCCACCGGAAGGGTGGGTTTTAGTCAACACTAGGGCTGCTAATTAATCGGGTCTACCTGAAAACCCGACCGACCCGTTCTATTTTTGGGTTATTCGGGTCGGCTAATCGGCCGAATTTGGGACATTCGGCCAACACCCGACTACCCGAAATAAATTCTCGGTCAGTTTTCGATTATAGCGGGTGTTATTCGGGACCCGTCCGAATATCCGAATAACTTCTGATTTAATTAATTTATTATTATTTTATTAATTTTTGTATTTCATATATATATGGTCTTTTAGGGTTTCCTCATTTTTTCCCCCTCTTTCTTTTTTTCCCCCATTTCTCTCGGCCGCCGCTCTTCTCTTCTTCTTGATTTTGACTTCTCTCGACCGTCGGCGTCTTCCGACCACAAACCCACCACCAGAATCACACACCACTTCACCACCTCCCATTTCCTTCCAGTTATCGGTCCAATCTACCACCAACACCAATCGGTCCAGATCTACTAGTCTAGAGTTTTGTTTTCAAATTGATTTCTTTTTTTTTTTAAAGAAAAAATGATTCATCGAAGAGATGCTGCTCTAGAGCTTTGAAAATCAACGGTTCGAAGCTCAGATCGATTCCATTCTGATAGCTCAGATCTAGGGTTTTGACGCTGACGGAGCTCCGTGCTGATTTTTCTCAGGTAAGCTCAGATATAGGGTAAAAAATCATTACTGAAAGTTGTCCTATTGATCATTACTTTGTTTTGTTCCTTTACGAAATCATTACTGAAGTCTGATAGCAATACTTACTGATTTTTTTTTGTCTTTTTATACGCAGGACCAGGATTCGATTCATATTCAAGTTTGATAAGGTAAAATTTTGTCCTGTTTCTCTATTTCTTTCTGTTCGTGTCTGAAGTTGTCTTGTTTCTATTTGGGGTTTTTTTGTTGGGTTTTGTACTGATTCTTGCTGAGCAGTTTTGGATTTGATTAAAATGTAATTCGTTGCTGTCTTGCTGAGCATTTGTGTTTGATCTGGAAGTCTTGTGTTTGATCCATGCTATAGTTTCTATCTTGCATGTTATAGTATTGCATGTTATAGTTTCTGTCTTTATGAAATCATGTCTTACATTGATTCAACTTAGTGGCTCGTCTGCTTATATTGATACTTTGGCCTTTTGTTTTAACTCTGAAATGAATCAATGATGAAAAAGAAGAAACCAATGAAGATAGTGAACTGCATTGTGTGTCATTGTAATCATACTATTTGCAGGACTGAGAGTTAACTGTTTTTGTGTCTTTTAATAATATAGCATTGCTTACTGAGTTTTCTTTTTGTCCGTTAATATACAGGGCCAGGATTCATATTCAAGTTTGATAAGGTAAAATTTTCACCTGTTTCAAGTTTGGAGATTTGGTTCTTTACTTCTTTTGTTGAAACTGTTGTATAGCCTTTCGTTTTGTACCTTAATTGTTGATTGTGACAGTGGTGTTGTGTGCGACTGTGTTCTGTTTGGTGGTGTAGGCTTGCATGTGTTGTTTGTAACTGCTCTAGCTAGGCATTGCTTTCTACTATTTCCAGAGTTTGTTTTGTGTCATTGTTTGAGTTGTGCAAATGACATTGTAACTGTACTTGTGCTGCAAAGATGCAATGTTACTTCTTTAATTCTTTCATTCATTGCAAAGTTCCATGTCAGAATCATTACTGCCTGTGTTTGTATTCTTCTGTTGGTCTGATTGTCTGAAGTCAGTTCTGTTGCATTAAATTTGTGACTAGTTACATATTTTGCAGAAATTTGTGACTATAAATTTGTTGCTTGTTGCTTCTGTGAACTATAACTAATATGTTTTAATTTGTGTTTTAGATGTCTGATTTTGATGAAGATTTCGACGAGCTTGAGGAGATTGAAGTGGAGGATAGTTCAGTGCCTCGTCTGCTGGATTTGCCTACTGATGACTCACTGATGGTAGATGTCCAGATTGAGACGAAGGACCAAGACGAAAAGCCTGAAGGTCAAGGCCTTCATGCTAAAGTAAAAAAATCTCCTAAGCGGCGCAGGGTAACTCGTAATAGGTCAGTTTTCTGGGCTCATTTCTCCAAATCTACACTCTCTAATGGTGAAGTATGGGCTACGTGTAGTTATTGTAAGACTGCCTATATGGCTGATCCTAAGAAACATGGCACAAGTAGTCTTCATTGCCATTTGGGGTCTTGTAAAGCGTATTTAGCTCAGAAGCATAATTCTGGTCAGTCTAAGCTAGTTGTTGAGTCTGGGGCGAGAAAACAGGGAAATATAGGTACTTGGAAGTATGATGAAACTGAAATCATTAGGGCAATGATTAGTATGATAATAGTAGATGAATTGCCTTTTAGGTTTATTGATAAACCTGGGTTTAGGTATTTTGTTAGGAAGTTGCAGCCACTGTTTACTCCTAAGGGTAGACAGACTGTAGCTAATGACTGCTACAAGCTGTATTTATCTGAAAAAGCAAAATTGAAACTTGAGCTTAAAGGCCTGGGTAGTAGAATCTGCTTAACGACAGATACTTGGACGTCTGTGCAGCAAATTAATTATATGTGTCTGACTGGGCATTATGTGGATAATAAATGGGTTTTGAGAAAAAAAATTTTAAGTTTTGTTCCCATTTCAAGTCATAGGGGGGTTGATATCGGGACTGAAATTGAAAAATGTTTGATGGAGTGGGGGTTTGAAAATGAAAATGTCTTTTCTATAACTGTCGATAATGCTAGTTCTAATGATGTTACTCTGGATTATCTGAAAGAGCAGTTTGCTGTTCGGGAAAATTGTGTGTTAGGTGCAAAATGGTTGCATAATCGTTGTGTGGCTCATGTGATTAATCTAGTTGTTAAGGATGGTTTGGCATATATAGGTAAATCTGTTGATAGGATTAGGGCTGCTGTTAAGTATAATCGGCAGTCTCCTAAAAGAATAGCTGGCTTTAAAAGATGTGTTGAAATTGAGAAGTGTGGTAGTTCTAAGAATCTAGTATTAGATGTTTGTACTAGATGGAACTCCACATATATTATGTTGGAAATTGCTCAAAAGTATGAAAGAGCCTTTAGGAGATTCAAAACTGGTAATCAGCACTACAAAGATGCTTTGAAATATGATCCTTTAGTGCCAAATTCGGGTCCTGGACTGCCTACTGCAGTGGATTGGGTAGAAGCTAGGAGGGTAGCTGGGATTCTTCATCATTTTAAAGAGATAACCTTGAGGGTATCTCGTACCAAATCTGTCTCCTCAACTTCTTTTTTCGTTGATCTTGTATTGATGTACTGCTGAAGAAAATTATCAATGAAAGTGATGATGAGGATCAAAAAGTAATGGCTGAAATGATGAAGGGAAAGTTTGATAAATACTATGGCCAGGTTAAGAATATGAATCTGGTTATTTTAATGGCATTTTTTTTTATCCTAGAAATAAGTTGAGGTATTTGGATGTTGTACGTGTCGATGTTTATGGACAAGTGGATGGGAAGGGTAGATTTGAAACTATTAAAAGCGCCATATATGAGTTGTTTGCGGATTATGTGAGAATCCATGCCCCTAAACCTAGTGTTAGTTTGCCTTCCTCCCAGCCTGATTCTAGTACTTCATCCTCAAAAAGGCCTTCTCCGGTTGATATCGAGCCTTCAGAAATGATTAGAGAAAGATTTAGGGGGTTGGCACAGCAAAAAAATGAAGAAGCTGGTGGCGCTTCCCAGGCTGATAAAAGATCAGAATTGGACAAGTATTTCAGGGAGGACGATGAACCAGGTGGTCCAACTTTCAATCTGCTGAAGTGGTGGTGCGTTAACAGCTCTAGGTTTCCCATTCTTTTAGTGATGGTTCGGAATATTTTGGCCATTCTTGTCTCAACTATGGCTTCCGAATCTTGCTTAAGTACGAGTGGGAGGGTATTGGATCCATTCAGGAGTTCTTTGACTCCAAAGACTGTTTAGTGCTTAATTTGCACTCAAGATTGGCTTCGGGGAGAAGTTGAAGAAGAAATTGTCCAAGAAAGCTGGGAAGAACTCATACAGATTGAAGAAGGTTACACTGTTACAGTTTGTGTTTTCATTTTATTTTTTAACTTTTTGTTTTCATTTTATTGAATATTGACTGTTTGTGTTTGTTTTGGTGTTTCCTCTTTTCAGCTGTTGAGAAGGAAATGAATGCTGGTGAATCAGAGACTGTGGATTTGTCGTGATCAAGCTGTTGGGACACTTCAATGATAGGTAAAATTTAGATGGTTGTTGACTTGAACGTAAAATTCCAGATTGCCTGTTGCATGAGTTTAGACTGTTGTCTGTCACTCTGTTGCATGAGTTATTCTGAATTTGCTGACTTGAACGTAAAATTCCAGATTGCTGAATGTTGATTGCCTAATGCCTAATGCCTGCTGCAAGCCTGCAATGTTGCCAAGTGCCAATTGAAGCGTTGAAACGTTAAAGACTGAACAATGAACTAATGAAGTTGAACTGCTGTTCTGTTCTGAATTTAAGCTTTTTCTGTAACTAGTTAATGCCTAATGGCTCATGAACTCAGTTTGGGTCCTTTGGGAGATGATTTCTGTAATTCTAGTTTAGTGGTTTGTGGTTTCTGTAATTCTTGTTTGTGGCTTCTGCCTTCTAGATCATTTCTGTCCTACTGTATTGTTGTTGAGTGTTATTGCTGTGGAGTGTGGACTTTGAAGTTTGAAACTTTAAGTCGAAACTCGTAATGTCAAAATGTCAAAAATTTAGGTTTGAAACTTGGTCTATTTCTGTATTTTGTGTTACTATGATAATGTGATCAGTGATTTCACTGATTTGCATTTGTTTGTATCATTTTCAGAATTTCTGTGTGACTGAAAACTGAAAATCTTGTAAATGGCCTAATTGGCCTATTTCGGGTTAACCGATCCCCGGCCAAAAAAACCGATTGCTTATTCGGCTTGGTTCGGTTTGGGGATTAATTAACTTTGGTTGGTTTTCAGTCGGGATTAGGAAGTAAAAAAACCGATTAACCCGAACTGATTAATGGTCGAACCGACCGAATTAGCAGCCCTAGTCAACACGGATGGGCCTTTTTATAATTCCTCTGGATTGGGTACAGCAGGGGGCCTAATTCGAGATGAAAAGGGGCAATGGCTGGGTGGTTTTGGAATAAATCTTGGTCATACCACAATCACAGGAGCTGAAATATGGGGGTTGTACCTGGCTTTGAGGTTAGCATGGGAAGGAGGGTGGAGGAGAGTCCTAGCGGAGGTGGACAATCAAAGCCTTGTGGCCATGGCTACAGGAAGGGGTAGGGATCCGGGGAGACACGAGCACCTATTGCAACAGTGGACTGTTAAAGTTCGGCACAGTCACCGAGAATCTAATTTCTAGGCGGACTATCTAGCCTCCTTAACAAAACAGTTGCCATGGGGCTGTCATTCTTTTGTTCAACCCCCTATAGGTGTTAGGGATTGGCTCTACCATGATGTCGTGGGAGTCTCGTATCCTAAAATTGTAGCTATGTAAATATTAGGTTCGGTGCCTCCCTTTTGAATAAAAAAAAAGATGGAAAAGGTAGTTTCTTTGCTTTGTTATTGTTAACTTTTTGGTCTCCTAACACAAATGTTTTAAATTTGCTGGAAGGTTTATTTGTGATTCTTAAGTTTAATCTAATTTCAGAAAAAAAAATTACAAGTTTTATTTTTTATTAAGGGTTTAGCATTTGTAGCTTTAATGAGGTTTGAAGAAGCCCTCTATTTTCTCGGTCGTTCGATTATTTTTCTCAAGTATAGTAGTTTGATGTCCAGATAATTCTTACATATTGGAGTAAAATCCTTTGTGCAATCTTTTCACTGCTTTGTTCAAATAGAAAAATATGTGGATCTT